CTAGAGAGAACTAGGCTGAAAAGAGTAGTGTTGTGATTTAGATGCTTTAAACCGCTATAACCCCAGAGTTTTCTATGATAGGCAGAGCTTGTAGAAAGCTTGGTAGTTTGAGTGGATGTTAAGCCTGATACGACAGCTCTGTAGGTCTTCATCTGAGGCTTCTCCAGAATTGTTACCCCAAGATGTCAAGAAGGGGTGAAGTCCATGTTGCTTGGTCCATGTACTGGGAGGTTTCTGTTCAGCAGTCTGTTAGAGATAAATGATGCCTATTAGAAATGCAGGAGTTGTGTAATCTCAGAGTTTGGCATTTGGAATTCTCAGTTCATGGATGCTAGTCAGTATGCATTGAAAGCTGTGTAGTCTACCTTGCTCTTCAGCTCAGGCTTTATAGATAGAGTAATCAGCTCAGAGCTGAACCACTGTGAGCAAGAGGCTGGACTAGAGACCTCCTGAGATCCTTTTCAGTCTAAATTGCTCTGTGATTTCATGATGATCTGAGCTGTAACTTGTGCTATTAGCTCACATTTTTAAAGTGTATCTTATTACTTACTAAACAGTTTGTAGTAGAACAGTGGTTTGGCTTAGGTCAAAGTAGTATAGATTAACTGACTAGCTAACTTGTCTCAGATCATCCTGAACTACTACATCAACTTAAAGAATGCTATTTACTTTTTCTGGTATGGGTAGATTGTAAACACTGATTAAAATTATTTTGTTTCAGATAAATGCATGTGAAATCCAGAGATTTTCAGATTTTCCATTGTCAAGGAAAACGCTTAAAGGTGAGTATGGAAGTTTTATTTGCAAGATTTTAAAAGTAAAAACGAATGTATTATTTACCTGCATCTGAATGTTTGGGGTTTTTTTTAATTGTTTGTTTTTTCTCTTTAAATGAAGTTTTAGATAAATATTTCCATCTGCAGCATTTCCTAAACAGAGGACTGAGGTCCTGGGCCAGACAAAAATAAATAAATATTTTTTTCTTTCTTTCTTTCTGTTTTTTGTTCTTCTTCCCCTCCCACACTCTTCTCTTCCCACACTGCAAATACTAGGATTGCAGGAAGCTCAATATCGTCTGGTAACAGAGATACAGAGGCAAACCATTGGTTTGGCTTTACAAGGTAAAGATGTACTTGGAGCTGCAAAGACTGGATCGGGCAAAACCTTGGCTTTTATTGTCCCAGTAAGTAACTTGCATCCTTCCATTTATACTCAAACCAAGTTATCCTTGAAGTATTGATGTCAAACAGCTTAGGGTAGTAAATCCTGAGAGAAAAGTTATAATTCAGCTGATGTGTTCTAATAAAGCCAAGATATTAATTTAGTAAAGTTGCTTGAGGTTCTCAAAGAAATGTGTTTCTGCACTAGCAATGTTCTGAGACCTAGAAGTTTCATTTTGATCCTTACACTAGCGAAAGAAATGTGTTTCTGCACTAGGAATGTTCTGAGACCTGGAAGTTTCATTTTGATCCTTACACTAGCAGACACTGTGAGATTTAGGAAGTGCTTTGGTTTTCTCTCAGGAATCTGTTTCCCTGGTGCAACTCTAGTTGTCCAGTTCTTTTAAAATTTGAAACCTAAGTGTATGAAATAGAAACTGAAGAAAATTCACCATTCACCTTTTTTTTAGATGTGTGATTTTCACTCCTTTAAATGTTAGAATTTGAATCTTTATAGCAAACCTAGCCTTAGTGATTGTGGACTTCATTTCCTTGTTGTCTTTTGTGAACTCCTTAGAAATAACTTCCAAGTGCAAGCGGAAAAATGGGATGAAAACGCGTCATGGATGTATGTGTTTGACAGTTTTGCTCAAAACATAATCTGCATTTCATTGGTTTGAAAGCATAACTGAGACATGTGCTTAAAGTGCACATAAAAAGGGATACAAACCCCAGTATGTTATGATTAGATAAAGGGGAAAAATAAGTGTTTTGATTATGGAGTTACTATGTTTTAAACATTACTTGCATTTTTGTAATCAGAAATTTCTTTGGAGGCTATTTTGTCAGTAACTATGGGAACAGTAGTAGATGTTTTAGGTACCTTCTCCAGCTGAGAAGATTTATGCTATATGCTGGGATTTGTAAAAATTTTTTATTAGTAAAAAGTAAGAAAAAGTAGGTGGCTTCAAAAGAGAGTTGTGTGAATTTGAGGAAAAAAAAGGTTGCTCAGTTAGTTAATCTAAGAGTAAAAGTACTTAGCTTTACAAACCTTATTTTAAAACAGTTTTAGAGCAGAAGGCTAAGAGAGGAGCTGAAGAGATAGAGTGGAAAAACATTAATTGTACAAGGATGCTTAACAGCTCTCAGTATTTCTGAATGCTTTGGATATTCATACCTGTAATGTCTTTGTGTTAGGATTAGCTGACTAAGACAATGTTTCTGCAGTGTGAATTCATAAGAGGAGGAATAATCCTGCTCTGAGCTGTATGGTGACTTTAGTTGGAATGCCTTGTATATGACATGTGGATAGTAGTGCTTTAAGTCTATAGCCGGAATTAAAGCTTCAATAATTAATGGTTTTCTAGTTGCTCATTCTGTTTCTTGTTCCCACAAAACCTTATGAGCAAGGAAATTTCTCATGTATTTCTATACTGATTTATATTATCATATAAATGATTAAGACTTCATTTCCAGAATTTAGCAGTGTAGGATTAATTGTGCAGTAAAGGGTTTACTATTTACCACCTATTACTGTCTGTCTTACGTTGGTATTGGAGAACTTTTCAGCAAGAATCATTGCCATTAGTTAGAACTTATATATAATCAGACTGTAGGAAATGTGCACTGATGTTGCTTCATGTCATTATTTTAATTTATGTGGCTTTTTTTTTTAAATGATGCTTTCTGTTACAAATTTGTTGTTACACGTTTTCCTCTGGAGATTTTTGTAATGGGAATATGATAATTGTTTTCAGGCCTTGGAACTCCTGTATCGCCAGCAGTGGACTTCAGCTGATGGACTGGGAGTTTTGATAATATCACCTACCCGAGAACTAGCATATCAAACCTTCAAGGTGCTGCGTAAAGTGGGAAAGAATCATGAGTTCTCAGCTGGTCTTATCATTGGGGGAAAGGTGAGTCCTTTCTTGGAGTTTGCAGTATGGAAGCGTAATTGAGTGCTATATTAAGTGCTAGTTTTGAAAGGAAATCCTGAGGTTGAAAAGTCAGGAAAGAGAGTTGTTAAGGGCAGCTTATCAGCTACCCACTTATTTTCCTGTCTATGTGCTCTGTGTCTTTTGAAGCTTTTGCGTATTTACAGTCTTTCCAGGTTCCATGACTGGATGGACCTTCCTGCCAAGCCTTCCATGACTATCCTGTTAATTTAGATAATTCTGGAATACTTTTTGCTCAAGCCACAAGTCTGAGCATACTGAAGAAATGGGGACCTACCTGTGGGAAGAGAAAAGACTGCTCATTGACTCTTCTTTCTAAAAGCTATCAATAGGTTAAGCTGACCTGACCATCCCTGTTACTGGGCCTGTAGTGTGTACAACTAGAACTAAGCTGGTTTAACTCCTTTTCAGGATCTGAAAGAAGAGTCTGAAAGAATCCACCACATAAATATGCTAATTTGTACTCCGGGACGACTTCTACAACACATGGATGAAACTTCATATTTCTATGCATCTGATCTGCAAATGTTGAGTAAGTTTTTTAGCTACTTGAAAGTACTCAGGAATATTTTGTAACAGTTCATAATTGTGTGGAACGCTTCTTGGGTAAAAAGTTTGTACTTGTCCTGGCATTTAAGCTCACACATGTCCAAATTAAATTAGAAGACAGCAAAACCCCTTTCTCGTATTTAGTTCCCCTGAAGCAGTTGCTGAGCATGCCTTCCTTAGGATGATAAGAACAAATAGGTGAGTGGGTAAGGAACCCGAACCCAAATGTAGTGTCCCATATGATCTTTTAGATCTCTCTTGGCTAATGCTGGCCTTTCCTTTCTGGCTGTGGCTCATGTTTTTCCTGAGTCAATAATTAGCTAACTATATGGAGCATCCATTGCAGTGTGTGTATTTTGGAGCTGTTCAAGAAATCATTTTAATTTGTATTTGAAGACAGATTTCTGCTCCTTTTGTTGTTTTGTTAGCATTGTTAGCACTGTTTATTTTCATCCTTCCAACCTGAACAAAAATTTCAGTGTAATGAAAAGGTTTGCCTGACACTAACAACTGCATAATCTTTAGCATAGCTTGAGGAACTTAGAAGCAATTAAGAAGCTAATGAAGCTGATAAAATGTGAAATTATGCTTGCTACACTTAGAACAATTCATGGCAGTTAGACAAGAATTGCATTAGCATAGACTCTTTTCTTAAAGCTTTGTCTCTGTGCTGCTGGGTTTATATCCTGTGTTTCGGCAGTAAATTCAGCTTAGGTACAGGAGAGTCTGTTTTGTTTGTCATGAATTGTACTGCACTGTTTTGCATTCTGTGCTCTTGTTTCTGTAATAGGACAGAATGTTTGTTTGCAAATTGACAAATGTTTACTTGAAACGATCATCTTTTTGTTTCAGCATGTGAAAATAAGGCCCATAGTGCATAGATTATGGGAAATGCTATGGTTTCTATTGCAGGTTTGTAAAAAACATTATTTTATGAAGTACATGAATATCTAAAGAGAATTCTGCCATATGCAGTAATTAAGTTAGTCTCTGCAGTTTAAGTACGGATGGAATTTTGTACTATACAGATTTAATATATGGTTTGTAAAAATAATTAAATCTAAACCCAGATTTTCTCAAATGTATCCCTCATTCCAGTTCTCGATGAAGCTGATAGAATTCTAGACATGGGGTTTGCTGATACAATGAATGCAATAATAGAAAATCTGCCTAAGAAGCGCCAGACCTTGCTATTTTCTGCAACACAAACAAAATCGGTGAAGGATCTTGCACGGCTGAGCCTGAAAGACCCGGAATATGTTTGGGTTCATGAGAAAGCCAAATTCAGGTATGTTGGGATATTTTTGTTTTTCTGGTGGGTTAAACAGATAGTAATCCTACTGAACTGCTTCTCTGACTGTCAGTTCCTGAAATTAGAAGTTGCTTTCTGTATCCTCCTCCTTCCTACAATGTCTGATCCAGCTACATGCCTTCCTGAAAGCAAGGAATTTCCAGATAACAGGGGATTTGTTCAGAATGAATCATAGGGATGCTGAACCTGTGCTTGTCTGTCTCCTCAGGCAGCTTCTCAGGCTGGAAATTTTTTTCCCTCAGGAGGAAGCCCCAGAGTGGATTATATACCATGAATGGAGTAGTGTCCTGGGTCCATCAGCATTCCTGAACTGCTCCTGTTTTTTGTTGTTTGGCTTCCTTGCCTCCTGTGTGTGCACACACTGTGCAGAACCCCCATGTGTGTTGCACAAATAGTTTGTGTGCCATTTATAAATCTGGCTTTCCAAGGAAATGCTGCCCTGTTGGGGAAATGCAGAATGACAGCCTTGTTTATTCAGTATGAGGTGCCCAAAGGAAAGCATGTGGTGTTAGTCCATGTGTAGTAATTGTTGTGGCTTCCTGATATGGTGTGCTTTATATCTCTAGCCCTGTGTGCATGAAATAAATTTGGCATATCATACAGTTTGGAGCAGAATGTGAGGCCCTTGCTGGAAGCAAAGTATGTGGTCTGCCATGCTTAAAAAAATTAAATTTATCACCAAATGAAAAAAATGTACATGTTGCATTTTGGCACATTATTTTCTTTGGAAATCCAAATGAAGAACATTCATTTAATATTTTGCATTTCTGTGGGCTTGGTCATCTGAATGTCAAATTGCTTCTGAACATGTATGATTCTTTTTCTGCTCTTCTATGGAATATGCATATATTTCTGTATTTGAGGTGCTGGAGAAAAGGTGAAGCATAGTGATAAAAATGAGTTTGCCAAGAGCAAACAAGAAATCATCAGCAAAATGCACAGCAGAAACAGGTTGAATCTTGAGGCAGTTTTAACTATTTGATTTTTTAATCTGTGTATTGTACTGCACATATTTTTTTAATCAGTAGTACTATCAAAGGCACCTTAAATAAGCATGATCTCCAGAAAAAGATGTGTGGTTAATATCCTCTTAGCAGAAGATGATGCCTACTATGTAGTCTTTATTTTGAGGACAAACTGTCCATCTGTTTCACAGATCTCACATATTTTGTGAAGTCTGTTTGAAAGTATGTTTAATTTTTTAAAATATTTGGGAGAATGCGATTCGATAACAAACTGACTCAGGAAAAAAGGAAAGTATTAATTTGTTTTAGAATTTACTGCCTTAGTAGTAAGAGGTTATTGCCTTATGAAAGCAGTTTCTTCTGAATGACTGCAAAAGCAAAAGGTGCTGTGACATAATTCAAATTGAATAGCAGAATAAAAACTGGAGGAATTTCTTGTAATTTGATCTTCCCAAGTGACTACCTTTTGAAAAGTAGTTTTGAATACCCGTGGTCTGTTTAGAGTGAAGCAGAGGGACTGTAAGAGATGAGCATTTAGATGTGTTTCAAGGGCAAATATTCCAAAAAATTTTTTTTTGTTTTATTCACAACAAAAATGTGAGTTAAGATGACAGTTCAGAGCTTTAGAAAGTCACTTTGCATGTCAGTGTAATCAGTAGAAGTACATCAATGCTCTCTTTTTGTGCATGATTAGACTCTGCTTTGACATTGCCTTAAGCACAAATGATGTTTTAATAGGACTAATAGACAAAATTGCATTTTAAGTCAAGGCAATGTGAGTGTTGCTGCTTAGACATGGAAATATTTTGCTTTGGTAATGGTAAATGAATTTAGAAGTAATGTCAGAAGTCATCTGTCCCTCCCCACTGGCTTTTAGTAAGGAAATTGGTCTATCTTTCAAGAGTAGCTTTCAAGTGGAGCTGTGCAAAGACTTGTTCCTCAAAGTGAGAGAACTTTCCAGCCCAACTCCTTTTTTCTTCTTTTTCTGAGGAGATCTATAAGACACTCTTTATGTAAAAGAAAGGTCAAACATCTCTGTATCTAAATGTGTGGTTTTGGTTTGTGTATTTTTTTTTTTTTTTTTTTAGCACTCCAGCAACTTTGGACCAGAACTATGTTGTCTGTGAGCTTCAGCAGAAAGTAAACATGTTATACTCTTTCTTGAGAACTCACTTGAAAAAGAAGAGCATTGTGTTTTTTGCAAGCTGTAAAGAGGTATGGCTTTCCCCCTTGCTTTCCCCCATAGCATGTTAATACTAAGAAAATGAAGCTATTAATGTAGATTTCAGGGTCACCAGAGGTGAGATTCTGGACTAGTTTGCAACAGGGAATTGGAGGAACAAAACATCACCAACCCCTGTAGGTGTGTCATGCAGGGCCTGACTTCTGGGAAGTTCAGTGGCCCAGGCTCAATGCAAGAAGGTTCTGGAGAACTCAGTGTACTTAACTATTTTTGTGCTTTGCTCTTAAGAATGCATGCTAGGGTCAAATATTGCAGTCTTGTCTCATGACACATTTCATAGTTAACTTACACAGTGGTTTAATAGCTGCACCTGCTTTCTTTACCAGTTTGTAAGTCTGCCTATTAAAGAAATTATGATTGCGAAATAGTACAGGGAAAGGTTTTACTTGTATATAAAGTAATCCTTCAAATATCTGCTTGTATAAATCTCCTGGGAACATTCTGTTGAAGTTATTTGTATGTATTTTTGTGGCACAGGTATTTATACCTGTAACTAATGCATGTATCAAGTATTTACAACATACAAGTAAATCTTCATTGCAATTCTTTCACTTGTGCAAGAGGTTACAATATTTTTGTTGTTTTGCCGTTGACTGGTGAGTACAGGGAGGTTATGGGCTATAGATTGCTTTGGGTTGCAAGTATAAAATACAACATCCCTCCAGTATTGTCTAAAAGCAGTGCTTCTGGACTTGATACTTCAGTCCCTTGCATACAGCATAACTAGTTATGTCCCAAGTCATTCTTAATGTTACCTACTCTGATTTCTTTTCAGAAATGCCATCAAAAGGTATGCCAGTCTTTTGCCACAGTTGGTTTCCTCTCTTACTACCTGGGTGTGTGTGACAAACTCTCAAAATAGCATCTCTTGCCTCTGATGTGGAGAAAAGTTTATATAATTTCAAGTCAGTTGCTGTATACTGTATATGATCTTAACAAGTTTAACATTGCATGGTAATTTTTTTTCCTTCCCTGATTTGTTGGCTAGGTCCAGTATCTATTCAGAGTGTTCTGTAAGCTTCAGCCTGGTCTTCCTGTACTGGCACTCCATGGCAAGCAGCAGCAGATGAAGAGAATGGAGGTCTACACTTGTTTTGTTCGGAAAAAGGCAGCAGTACTTTTTGCTACAGATATTGCGGCTCGTGGCCTGGGTAAGTACCTACAGAAGCAATGGCTAATCACAAAGTGATGGCCTAACCCTTTTGAGGCATTATCAGAGTTTATACTCTGAAGACTAACCTGATTTGTGAAAAATGAGGCTGTAGTTTGCTTAGGACCTCATCAGGGTATCTCAAAAGAGAGATGCTTCTTAGAGTTCTGCTGTTTCTTTGCTGAATAGACTCATTTCATTTGTGCTTATTTTTTTTTGTTTTGTCCCCAAAGAGCTAACATTGTATGGAAGTAGTGATGTATTTGGTTACTACATCCTGCAAGGCAAGATTTCAGTAGTTTTAAGTATTTCTGATGTGCCCGTATCCTGTGGGTTGTTCCAAAGGATATGAAAAATTAATAACCTGCCAGCAGGTGGAAATGAAATCTCAAAGAAATTTTAGTGTCTGAAGTGTGAATGGCATTATAGGACTGTGTTGTTAAGGAGACAGAAAAATAAATTAAGATAAAAGCAAGAATTTATAGGACCTATTTTGGGCCAAGAGCTTCTTTCCTCTGGTCATTACCTGCTGAGTTATGAATTACTTATTTGGACTTCTTTTCCTTTTGTTTTTTTTCCCTTTCCCTAGTACTGGGAGGGATTTAGGTAGGACACAAGACTTTTCAGGAGTCCATTCACTATTTCAGATAGCAAAGTCTGTTGTCCAAAGTGTGAGGTTTTATCATTACTCTAAAAATGAAGCAAAGTGCTCTAAAAACTGAAGGCAGAAATGAAAATTGTTTACCATACCTTCTATACTGCTGAAATCTCACTAGTGAGGATGTCATTGGGTGTGGTTGGTTGGGTTTACAGTGTGGGTATAATTGTGGAATTAGCTGCAGAGTTGGTCAGGAAGTAACACAAATTTACTCCAGTGTGAAGCATGCTGCTGCTGGGTGAAGTGCAGCAGGGAGAAAATGCTTATTAATAATATCATTCTCACTTAATGTTGACTTCTTTGTCAAGTTCAGTCATTCCCTCCCATCTTTGAGTGGGACTATGGTATTTCTGTATGTGAGCAGCTGAGGAGTGCTGTCTCACCACAGCTAACTTCAAAGCCCAGTGGTGTAGGATATTAATGGTGTGGGTGAAAAGTGGGTCAGATATTGTTATTTAATTCTTATACATAGTGGTGTTTTAGCATCTGTGGGCACAAAGCATGTCTATTCTTGTCAAAGTGCAAAGTTATGCTCCATTCATTGCACCGTCATAATTTAGGAAATGAAGACACAATTCATTTAAACTTTCTTTGATGAAGAGAATGATTGTTTATGTATGCTAATACATGCAATTATTTTTATTTCAGAAGTAGTGCCCAGTGTCTGCAGATGGGTCTAAGTGATGGTTCTAGCAGGAATTAATGCTCCAAAATGATATATTGCTCGTGAATAGGAGAATTTTGAGTACAGTGAGCTTAAATATTGATGTATTTTTTTGTTACACAGATTTTCCAGCAGTGAACTGGGTCATTCAGTTTGATTGTCCAGAAGATGCAAACACATACATCCACAGAGTGGGAAGAACAGCCAGGTCTGTTTTCACTTTTCATTAGTATTCTAATGTTTAAAGTTAGATCACTGTAGGGACAGATAATTGGCTAAAGACTCACTTCAAAAAAAATCAAGATATACATTGGAAAGAAGGAAAAAGGCTATTAGCACTAAAAGACCCTTTTGATTACTTAAGAGTAATGATTAAACTTAATCATTTCTTAGTGAGCTTCAGAGACTTACTACAGCAGACAGAAAAATATCCCTGGTTGTTTAATCTGATCAGAGAAGATTAATAGTGAGGAAACAGAAAAACCTTTTGCACTTGGCAGGATTACCTCAAAGGCTGAGTTGAGCATGTTTGTGGGTGGAAAAGCTTGTTTTGCAACTGACATTTATAGATAGATAAGATTTTAGACTCTGGATCTAATTTATTTGTGTCATTGAAGACTCTTCAAAAGAATGGAAATATTTCCTTCTTATTTTAATTTGGGGAGGAAGCAATCAAATAATGTTAATTACAGGTTAGATTTTTAATTTTCTAAGTATTTTGTAAAATTATATTCTTAAGCATAGATTTAGTTAAAATATTTGTGGCTAAGCCTTTTTGATAGTAGTGACCCAGGAAACCAGGTCCTTGATCTGTGAAGTAGATTTTTAAGAGAAACAGGAGCTGTTACTGCATGTAATTCAGTAGATGAAAAACTTAATGCAATTATCCAAAGGCTGAAATGCAAGACCTGACATTATATCTGGTCTGTAATTTGATTTGTTTGTAGTAGGGTTTGCAGTATAGGTGGTTGTCAAACCTAATGATAGAGCAGTTGATTAGAATAGGAGTTCCAACACTATAGGAATTTGAGATCTGTGTTCTTGGATCAGATGGTATTAAATTCTGATGGCTGTACCATGAAAGTGTACTTCAGCCCTCTATCTGAATGTGGAACTTCAAGCCGTGTTTTCATTGCCTCATTCTGTCCTGTGCTCTCTGTTGTCTGATCTACCTGTAGATCAGTAGAAGGGAATGATAATTTTTTAAATGCTTTTGAGAAAAACATGTCTATGAACAAAATCAGTGAATGTTACGTATAATTAGATAAAACATGTAGCTATTTTGCTAAATTAAAATTTAGCTGTAATCTTATGCATACCAATTGAAAGAAAAGTGTATAGGCTTAGTTAGAATTCTGTGTTGGAATTCTCTTATTTTTTTTTTTAAAATCCTGTGTGTGTTCCACAGAAGGCTTGTAGTCTTGTCTTTGTGGCATACCATCATAATGGAAGGAAAACAATGTGTTTGACACTGTTTAATTGGCAGTTTCTTGGAGACTTGTTGAGCTCTTCCCAAGCTCTGTCACCGAGTTAAAGCACCTCCTTGGAGCCGCAATCCTCAGGCCTTTTCCCAGTTCTCATTAGGAGCTGAGAAGAGCAATTTTAAGTATGTTTAGCGCGGGGGAACAGCTCTAAAGAACTACAAAGACAAATAACTCCCTATTTTCATAATGCTTTTATTCAAATATCACTGGAGGATGTTAGCCTGGCAACCTTAAGGGTATGTCTTCAGTGGTCTTTAAGTATAACCTTCTGTGGTTGCTTGAGGGACAGATTTAGACAGAAAATTGGAGCAGAGGGTCTGTTTCATGGGCCATGGGTTGTGCTGGATGCCTCACTGAGCTGTAGTTTATATTTCCTTTAACGTGACTTTTTTCTGTAGCCAGACCTTAAGGAGGCTGGGAGGACATCTGGACAAGTTGTTTGAGCTGGAAGGGTGGTGGCTGACAGTGAAAGCAAATTCCTTCTGTAGGAAAAGCTTCATGGGTGTTTTCTGTTTCTTAATCTGGTGCAAAGATCAAGGCAGGTTCGACCTATACTGGGCATTCATTTTGAAGAAACACACACAGATTCTCTGTGTCCTTAAAGGAAAGCAGTCCTGGAAAGAGCTATACTTAGGAATCTTATCAGTATGAAATAAATCCTTGAAAATTAAGCAAGGGAGATGTCTAGTAATTTTAAGTAAATACTATGCACTAAGTAAATATGCTCTTGCAGTTTTAGATGTGGATAATTGAGAATGTACTTAGCAGTGGACTCTGACTGTTGAGTAGGAAGCTTTGCTTGTCAATAGCTACAGTTAGTATAAGAAGCTTGTATTTCTTCTAGAAACTTGATAAAAATGAACTGAACTGCAGTTTGGTAGTCCTCATTAATGAGGTTAGACACAATTACAAATTTTCATAGGTTATGAAGGTGTATAATTGCATAGAATGAAAGGTAAATTAAATATCTCAGATAATTAAGAGACTGTGTTAAATGGTAATTAGTACTGGGATGCCAAATATTGTTTGCTTTTCAAATCAAATTATTTTGTGATTCAAAAGTGAATATGGAAGTCAGGAGAGAAATTGTGTTGGAGATGGGGCTGAAAAACCTTTGACTAACAGTCAGGGATGTATTCCCACATCTGGTTTACAGTTTTGTGAAGCTTGATCTAAGATGAAAGATGAGGTTTATTTTTAAGTGAATGAGACCACTGTGTTCCCTAAGTTGCATTTCACTTGCATTTTATCCTGTTGAAGAACATAAATTGCAACTCCTGCATTTTTGATTTATGGTAAAGTAAGATCAAAAAATGTGAGTGTTGTCCAATAATGCTTTTACTTTATAGTAGAATTGACATATCTTGAGTGATGGGGTTTTTATTTTATAAACTTGAAAGGTATGCTGCAGTTGAAGTGATTAGAAGCTGTTTCTTCCAACTGCTTTTAAAGTGTTTATTTGAAATCTTAACTAGTTCAGTAACAGAATTTCTGAAGTACTGATAATACCATGGGCAATCCTACAAATGTTTTTGACTATATTTTTGGCACACAATCTCCTAGAAAAGTCTGTGATGTAAAATACTAGGTCGCAGTGTTTTCTTGTGGGTTTTAGTTTCAAAAATTCTAAATAAAAGCTGCTTGTAGCAATTGCCTGCAAAACTATTTTCTTCTGGCTTTTAATTTCTGTTGATACCTTCTATTCTATAACCTGTGAAGCCTACATCTTTGATCAATTTTGTGAAACACGTTAAAGTGCCACTAGGGGACAGCAGAAGATAATAATTTTTGAAGCACATTGATGCTTGCTTTTTTTCCCAACTGTTTTTCCAAACAAAATTTCTAAGTTGTATGGCATGAAAAAAACATTTAGGGATATTTTTCTTTCAGTCGTGATTGCGTTGCTGAAAAGACACAAAAGTCTATTTTATCTTTTTCTTCATGCAGAAATATCTTCTATCTTGGATGTACCTATATCCTGGCACGTCTCAGTAATCAATTTCTTTCTTTCCTAGCGTTACATTCCTCTCTCTCCTTCATTTTAATTTTTTTTCTTTCCTTCAGAGGAGACTATTAAAACTGTTACTTGAGTTTAGTGATTTTTCTGTCAGGAGTCTTTTTTTTTTTTAAAGACACTGACAGTGGAATGTTAAATGGAGTAAGTCTTTTTGCTCTGCAGTTCTTATCTGTACTATGTCCTGAACCATATATAAGATTTAGGTCTGACTCAGACTTCTGATGGTATTTAATCCAGGCTAGTTGGTTAGGTTTCTTAGGTGCTCAGACTGACTTAGGAAAGTAATTTTGCTGTTGTCATTAAACAAAATGTGCAAACAGACATGCAACTTCTGTCTAGCTCTGTGTATGCTCTTTCTCTTTTACTAAATTATATTCTGAAAACAAATGGAATCATAAAAGTCCATCTTCCCAAAGCAGTATGCTCTGTTACCTACGGTCTTTGTACTGGCTGGCATGATGATTACAGCCAAAGAAGTATGAATAAAGACTTATAAAATCTATGGGGTTTTTTGATGCCTTGTGAGTACTGGAGAGCACACACCCCTGTCAAATTATGGAAAGGTGAAAGGGGCAAGTCATAGAATGATCTTATTCTGTCATCAAGTATAATGCTTTGAAACATGCTCACTGGGGCTCTCCTTAAGTAATTGCACATTATATGTGTGAGAGTGAGACTATTAAGCCTGTAGAGTAATGTGGCAATAAACCATTAAAAAATGTGAGTGACTTAATTGTACCTTTTTCAATGGCGGAAGCTTAATTAGTTTTATTTTGGTTTTTAATTGGGAAAATTACCCCAGGGATATATCTTGGGTCCTGAATAAACAGGACAGCCAAGATAATAGCTCATAGTTTGATTTTTTTTTTTTTTTTTTAAAATTTCATTTTAAGGCACACTGAAACACTATTACTCTTGTTTCTTTAAAAATAAATGCAGTATTAAGACCATCTCATCTTATACTGCAGTCAAATCATCATCCTAATTCAAGTTAAGTAAAAATAGCTGCTAGTGGAGGTCTCAAGAAATTGTTGACACCACATTTAATTTGCAATTCATACTATTAAATTCTCTAAAATTAAATGCTGTATCTTAGCTACATTCTTGACAGTGTCCTGTGATGCTGCAGTTGTAATGACTGGCACTGTGTTATGCATTAGAATTATCTTTGTAATGGAATGGTATGAATGTTCCAGTACACTGAACTATTAAGTGGCTAAGGTAACCTGCTGATGTGAAGCTATACTGTAAGCTGTAATAAGAAATAAATAGGCACGTGTATTTTAACTCAGCAGAGTGGACACAGCTGCTGTGGAAAATGGATTGCTTCCAGTCTAGGCTGGAGGATCCAACAACCTCCCAAGGCTGTTTGAATTCAATTTATTCTGAGACTAGCATGATAAGGTTGGTGAGGCACTGCTGTTCTCATCCTTTATTACTTGTGCATAAGTCTGGCAAACAAGGACAGCGACCCAGTATGACTGAATGAAAGGGATTGTGGTTTTGTGGTACAAATAAACCCCAGCTGGTTCTTGGAGCTTGGCAATAGGTATAAATGGGTTACTGTCTGGACAGGAGAAGGAAAAGGGTATTAACTGATAAGAGGAAAATAAAAAACAAACTCTGAAGCAATCTCTGACTTCCTAGCAATATTTACTGATAATTTTTGAGGATATTGAACTAAGGTCTATGCAATGGAGAAATAGA